CCCTCTCGAGGTCTGATGGCTCTATTTTCCCCGCAGGATCAGCAACGCTATCACGAGGACATTTTCGGGCTCACGCTGCGCACCCAGGAGGTGACAAGCCGCATCCGCACCCAGAGCTTCTCCTTGCAGGAGCGGCATATGCGCAGCGCAGTGCCCTGGGCTTTCGACCCGCCGGGCGCAGACACCCCCGGGCCCTGAGAGCCCTCTTTCCTGCTTCCCACCCCGGTTCCCGCAGAGGGGCCGTCAGTCCACACGGGCGCTGCCGCTCTTCTCTCGGCCTGCCCAGGACCGGCCACCTCTCCCTCCCCTCCCGAGGTGTCTTCCCCGAGTCTGCGGGGACTCGCCTAACACCCGGGAATGAGCGAAGTGTCTTTGTCTCTCTAGGCCTGGCTCCCTACCCCGGGTCTGAATAAATCTGAAAGGACTCCCCCCAGCAGTGGTATCCCAAGGCCTCCTGTCACCCTCTCCGTGTTCTTTAGGTGAACTTTAGATTTCCCTTACCTCTCTCGGGAGTATCTTATCTTGAAACCCAATCTCCAAATCATTCAAATATTTATTATTGAAGATTCACCATAAGAGACGGGACCAGGTGTAATGAGAGCGACTGAGATGCCTAACCCAGCGCTGTGGATTAAAATTACAGAATGACAAGCTCTGTCTTTTAACTCGTGCAGCTGTGGGGATGGTAATGCTCTGAGGAGTCCTATCCTGCACACTCAGCTCTGACCCAGCGCTCTAGGAACATGGCTCCCAGCCAGTCACAGGCCATTCCGGGAGCCGCTCCCTCACTCTTGATTGAGAAGCAGGTACCGCCCTCTGCTGCCAGGAATGGTGCCGCTGGAGACCAAGGTCACACAGATGTGTAACTCAGCCATGAGCAACCTTTACTGCTTGTTTCAGACAGGATGGGGAGCCACACCCACTTCCTCAGACGTCACACCGACGCTGAACTCCAAAAACATCAGCCCTCTCTGGTCTTTCCACTCACAGTCCCCATGGCCCCCCTCCACAAATCTCATGGGACCCTGAAGAACGAACTCCTCCTAGTAATGCTCCTCACTGTTTCCCTTACACTTAGCTTAGCCTCCGCCTTGGCCCTGCCCCCCACCTTGAGGATACTCAGGGACTTCTTCCCAGGCAACCGCTCCAGGGCAGCTAGTTGGGGGTGTCCCCTTCTCCTCTCCATGTGAGCATTGTCTGTAAGACTTGTTTCCAGATGCCTTTGGCATCCCCTCTCCTACTCTTTCTCTGCTCTCTGGGGCGAGTTCATCATTGACCCCCAAGTCCTGACCAACTAAAGCATCTCTGGGGGGGCCCTAAGAAGGGCTCAACATGTTCTTCTACTCCACCTCTTCTGATCTCCTGTGGCTGGAAAAGCTGGGGTACCTGAGGGAGGAGAAGGCTCTTAGCAAGCAGTCCAGGGGTTTAGGTTCCAGAGTTGGCCATCCCCTCACCCCAAATGCCCACCACTGTTCCCATCCATCCCTCCAAGTCTAGCTCCACCTAATTTCCTATTCACCCCTCTCCCCCACCCAGTTAGACAATACTGACCCTGAGGAGCCCTCTCAGTCAGTGCTGTGGGCCTGGTCAGGCTCCTTCTGAGTGTCTGTGGTCTCCTGAAACCCTCCAGGAAACAGATTCTGGGCCCTCTGGGTTCTCCACTGCTGTCTGGGGCTGGAGGCAGGGCTGGAGCCTGATGAGAAAAGCCGTCAGCTGGGCAATGCCCGGGTGCCTGCTACCACCCAGGGTCTGCCCCCTGCACACTCTGATTGCCTCACCATCACTGGACCAGGACGGCTTCTCCTCATCAGGCGACAGTGTCTGCGGGGGGCTGGACCAGGGCCTGGACAGGGAGGAGGCTGAGGCCTCGCCCCACAGTTCCTGCTGCTGCTGCTGATGGAGCTGAATGGGAGGAAGAAGAGTGAGGGCTCCCTCCTGCCCCGCACCTGGGCGCAGAGGGCTTTGAAGCCTCCTTTCCAGTCCCTGTTGGGTATTTCCTTACCCCTCCTCAGCCTCCTTTTGGGCAGCTGCTTTCTCCCCACATTTCTCTTTTCTGACCTTTCCACTCACCTGGTGCAGGTAGATGGCATGAAGACTCATCTCAGCAGAAGCAAGCTCTGGCAGCTGGGCCAGCTTCTGGCTCCCAGTGCCCCCAGGGGACACACAGCTGGAACAGAGGGCGGGATACATCAAAGACATGCCCCTCCCCCTGCACCCCACAGGGAGGGCCAGGCTTAGCCTCCCATTCCTAATCACCCCCCCCAACCACTGCCACCACC